CAGATAGGATGCTGCTATCGTTGCATGTTAGATTCTCAGTCCCCCATCCTAAGCCACCCTGGCTGTCCTTCACATGGATCCAAATGACTTCTGCCCAACCTTTTAGCATTTACAGATCCCTCTCAACCTCTACCGAGAAGGGTGCTACTAAATCAAATCTTCTGAAATGTTAATGGTTCAAAAACTGTAGAGCTCTCTGCTTTTTAAAGGATGCACCAAATTAGTTTTTGCACATGTTCATATGGACACACACACCCCCCCAAAAAATCCCCCAAATTTCTATTTTCCCAAGCCACTCCTAAGCATCTTTAGAGTGGTGCGGTGGCCTAGAGGTGGAGCTGTCGCCTCACAATCAGGAGGCTGTGAGTTCAATTCTAGGTAAAGGCAGATATTTCTCTCCTGGGCACAATGAGAATATATCTGCTGTGAATTCCGCATTAGCAACAGGAAGGGCATCTGGCCAGTAAACACTCAGCTCCATTCAGTTGCCCAGAGTCCACCCAGCAAGGGATTACGGGGTCATTAAAAGAAGATGATGATGATTCCTAAGCATTTTTACTTCAGAGTCTTCTGTTCTCAGCAGCTCTTACTTTCAAGAAAGTATGCAGAGAACTGCAGCTTTTCTCGTAGGCTAAGAACCAACGTTATGCTGCATTGGATGGAGGCTCATACCAGTTTCCAAATATCAGCTCAAGCTCACCACTTGCTGGTTGACCTTGGGGCAGTCATTCTCTCTTATCGTAACCTAACCTGCCTCTTGTCAGAATAAAAATGTTTCCTAACTCCATGAAATCCATGCCGCCATTCAGGGGTTTTCAAAAGAGGAGAAATAAAGCTATTCTTGATCTGATCAAACTCCTACGGATGCGTCGCCAAAACCAGAGGTATGGTTTGCAGAAAATAAGTTTAAGAAAAGTTGATATGAAATTCTATTCATGGGTAATGCTGCAGGGGAAGTAGCTTTTTACTGAGCTCTGGGACTTTTGTTCTTTAAAATGAAATATTTTTCTAAGGAATTTAATGTATTTGGGTTTCTGCATGTCTTAGGACCATAAAATGTGAGGAGGAAAATAGAGAAATGTATTTTACATCAGCAGTGATGTCACGGGCATTATCCAATAGTATTTGTGATGCTTAACCAATGACTTCCACAGGGCATTTACTAATGCAAAAGACATAGCCATTAGGAAAAGAAGGAAAATTGCATCTTAAGAACAACGTATTACATCCTGACTGCTGGAAACATATGTTTTCCCAATAACAGCTGTGCTAGCTGAGATTTTAATTCCCTAAACACAATAATAACAGCCTGTTTATTGCACAGCAAATGGCCTTTTGCAACCAGCATGATTTTATGTAATTTCACAACTGCAGTGCATTTTAAAGGCATAATTTGGAAACCCACACAAAATCTGATGTTTCAGAACTCATTGCTCATTGAGCAAATGAATAGACTGTTGTTAATGTTTCAAATTGAGTCTCAGATTTTATTCATGAGAATTTCTAGGGGTTAAGGGGTGGCATAAGAATGGCCCCAAAATGCACTGGTGATTGGGAACATGAAGCCTGGGATAGATTTAAAATGATTCCCATATAACTGGTGAAATTATTAAGAACCAGCAGGTTTGCATGCCAACTCATGCCACAGAATCATATTTCAGTGTTGGTTACAGGTGTTAACCATTAATATGAGTGAGTTTCTCTACTTAGCTAGGACTGGAATCTATAGCCCAATTCGGCTATGGTTAACATGGCTGAGCACATTTTAGGTCTTCAGAGAGAAGACTGCTTGGAAAGGATGCAAGATACCAAAGTTAGCTTTTGCTCTCTTGACCATAGTACAGAAGCTGAATAGGGTTCAGATTGCTAAAAGGCAATTTAAATTGTTCCGCCTTCTTAGATGCAGAAATTATGCAAAACAAGAATTTGATTAATTTATTAATTTTATTCTGATCATAGGATTCAGAATTCCTGCTCCACTTTGACAGGACTCTGGTTTCTTTTACTGTACAGTTTACGGTCTTGCCGTAAATTTATGATGTAGTGGGTTTTACACCTACAACTTAGGTAATTTAATAAAATATAATGGTTCAGGTAATGCTCAACTTACCATCACGAGCGAGCCCAAAATTTCTGTTGCTAAGCAAGGCAAACAGAAGTGAGCGTGAGAAGTGTTAAGTCAGTTTTGCTCCATTTTATGCAAATGACCACAGTTGTTAAGTGAAACATGCAGTCATTAAGCAAATATGACTTCCTCCATTGACCTTGTTTGTTGGAAGCTGGTGATCACGTGGCAGTGGCTGTCTAGGACAGTGCAACTGTAATAAATACATGTTAGTTGCCAAGCACCCAAATTTTATCACATGACTATGGGAATGCTGCAATAGTCGTTAAGTATGAGAATCGGTTATAAGTCACTTTTTTCAGTCCCATTGTAGCTTCAAATGCCACTAACCGAATGGTTGTAAGTCAAGGACCATATTCCCCAGCAAGACTACAGCTCCTAAATCTCCTTGGTCTCTCATATTCAGGACTGATGGATCAACCATTGGGTTTCTCAGAGCCCCAACAAGTTGCATGACTTAAGCACTTCTAATGTGGGGGGAAAAAAACTTCTTTATCAGGGAATTCAGCCTTTAGGGGAGAGAGATTTTGGGTAGCTAACAAAGGCAAGCCAGATGAGTTCCAAAACCAAGATGTTTAGAAGAATGGAATGGAATGGAAATAGAATAGAATAGAATAGAATAGAATAGAGTAGAATAGAGTAGAGTAGAGTAGAGTAGAGTAGAGTAGAGTAGAGCAGAACAGAACAGAACAGAACAGAACAGAACAGAACAGAATAGAATAGAATAGAATAGAATAGAATAGAATAGAATAGAATAGAATAGAATAGAATATAGAAAATAAATAGAAAATAGAATGGAATGGAATGGGAATAGGAATGGGAATAGGAATAGGAATAGGAATAGGAATAGGAATAGAAATAGAAATAGGAATAGGAATAGGAATAGGAATAGGAATAGGAATAGAATAGAATAGAATAGAATAGAATAGAATAGAATAGAATAGAATAGAATAGAATAGAATAGAATAGAATAGAACAGGACCTTGGAGGCCTGCACCCTGCTCAAGCAGGAGATCCTATACCATTTCAGACAAGTGCTGTCCAGTCTCTTCTTAAAAACCTCCGGTGATGAGGCCCCCACAATTTTAAATATCCTTAAGATCCCTTCCAAAAGATGCCCTAAAAGGCATAAAGTTATGAATTCCAGAAGATGCCTTAAAAGTATAAAGAAAACAAGAAATACTTATTTTCTTTCCCCATTGATATAGGCTGCAGGATGAAGGATCTCAGTGGAACCATGGACAGGAGCATCTTAACTAACCATCCCATAGTCCAGATACGGATGTCAGTGAGAAAGTGGGAAATAAATTTCTCCCTCCTTCATGACAGGGTATCAGAGGAGGGCAAGTCAGGAAGACAGAGGAACACAAAGGAACACTGACATGATTTTGCTGACTGAGCTTCTTTTCTGCATTTTACCGAGCTTTGGGGAATCATTCCAAAGAAATTCTTCCCCCCCCCCCCATGCTTTCTCAGTATCGTTTCATGCCAAGAACCACATGAGCTTCTGAACCTGTTCAGATCTGTTCTTTCTCCAGATCAGGTATCTTGTAGGAAGCATGATCATTCCTCCCAAATGGCCCTAACTTTGGGACTACCAAATCCAGTTGTTCTCTTAAAATCTGAAACAATCAAAGGCTGATTTTTTTTTTTAAGCAGATGCCAACTCTTACTCTGCCTCCAAAAGACTCTCGTAGCAGGTAAGGTGCAGTGGAGAGGGATATTCTCCGGTTGGCCCAGGATGGACACAAGGCAATTCATGAGAGCAGAAATGGCACGGATCAAGAGATCCAGGACTGCAATGTGTTTTAGAAGAGCTTCATATTTAGAAAAGCTACCCAGAGAGGGATAGAGCTACCTTTGCAAGATTTGCCTCTTGTACAGGGCCTGCCCCATAATGCAGCAGAAAAGTTCTTGCAGTCATTCTTACAGTAGCCTTATCCTTCTTCATCCCTTACTGATGACTTTCTAGAGGGGGAACCAAGGAAGGCCGAAAGTACCTGAGAACCAAGTAAGGTTGAACGAAACAGGCCCTTGGAGCAACCTTAGAGGCAGATAGGTAAGGAAACACACAATTCTCCTTAGTCCGGCTGTCGTGCATACCACCCTTTTCCCAAAGGCCTCGTTTGTGCCTTCATCACCATTCCTTACAGCTCGGGGATGGGGAACTATAACCCACCACAGCTGGACAACTACACTTGGAGGAAGACTGCGAGACGCCAGGGACTCTTGTAGAAGTAGGGCAAGAGAGATGTCGATGTCTTGGGGACCTTTTCTTTCTTTCTCTCTTTTTCGTGAGGCGTGTAGACGGACCTGCGCCCGCTGGCGTCCGCGCTAGAAGCCGAAGAACATCGCATTTCTGAGTATGCGGAAGGAAGGAGGCAGCAGGAGCTTTCCCCCACCTCACCCCACCCCCACCCCTCCCCGCCCGGCGTGAATAAGAGAGGGACGCTGTGCGTGCCGCGCTTCTGTCCGCGGCTCAACGCGAGGCTTCTGCAGTCTGTGCGCCCGCCAGCAGGACAAGCGCGGGGCGCTTGTGCGTCCATGCGAGAGATTGGCGCCGCACGTGGGTCGTTAATTCGGGAGAAGGACAGTTTATGATCCATAAAGATGACCGGGCCGTGGGGAGGGGAGGGGGAGAGGGAGGGCTGAAAACTTGAGGGGGGAGGGGGGAGGGAGAGAAACAGGCGCAAATGAAGCCACAACCGGGCAAGAGGCGCGAGCCCAGGCTCAGCGGTGGGAGAAGCCGGAGCAATCCGAAAGGCGCACCGCTTTTGGCCGCTGTTTCCTCGCCGCTCTTTTTGAGGCCATCCCGCTTCCCATTCACACCCACACACACACACCCCGCGCTTTCCGGGCCCTGCTGCTCTCTTACCTCCCGGTGCAGGCAGAAACGCAGGGGCAGGAGGCAGGAGAAGAAGTATTTTCCCCAGCGGATCAGGGAAGCAAAACACCAGCTCAGGCGCGTCATCGTTGCAGCAGCAGCTGCTGGGCAGCTAGGATCCCGCTTCGCTCCTGAGTGGGAATCCCCTTTCGTTTTCCTGTCCCTTCAAGGGGTTTGTGCGTTTGTGTGTGTGTGTGTGTAGGGGGCGCACGGCTGCGTGACTTCTGCAAGGGGGTCTTTCCAGCCTGGGAGGTAGAGTGAGGTGGGGGTAGGAGAGAGAGACAAGAAAGAAGCTGGCGGGAAACCGCTGCTGGTCCCGTTGCTGCAGCAGCGGAGCGTTCCCGCTCGTTTTCTGGATCCCAAGCCTCTGCAGAGCGCTGCGCGCCGCGGTGCCAGAGGAAAAGACAGCGAGGGCTTCTGCGGATCCTTTGGGCGCAACGGCGGCGGCGGCGGCGCTGGCCCGATGGATCCCCTCCGCAGCCTTGACACGCCGAGCGCGGCTTCCCGCCCTCCTGAGCGCTGTGCCGGAGCCGACGACACCGCCCCCTCCTTCTCTTTCCTTGCCGCCCTCCGCCGTCCGGCAGCGGCGACGGCAACCGATGGCGCGGCCACTTCAAGCCCCGCAGTGCGTGTGTGTGTGTGTGTGAGAGGGAGAGGAGGACGCCGGGCTGGATCAGCTCCTTTCAGCCAGCCGGGCTGCACTCCGGGCAGCGCAAGGTGGTGGGGGGAAGAGGAGGGCGGGAGGCGGAGAAGCACGTGCCGCAGCCGCGAACCTGGACCTGCCTTGACGCTCAACCGGACCGCGAAGGACAGTGGAGTCCAGCTGCGTTATCGGCCTCGGGCGGAGGAGAGCAGCATCTCTCCTCCGCCCCCATCTCGCGTTCATCCTAATAGATTCTGAGGCTTGGCTTAGCTTGGCTTGGCCGTCCCGCGGGGCTGAGCTAATCAATCATCCTCAGCCCCTTTCGGCTCCCTTTGCCCCTGGATTTCAATAACGCCACGCGCGGTCGCTCACACCCCTTTGCGCACCTTCCCTTCCCCCCCTCCGCCGTGCTCGGACGGACAGATAAAATCAAACCTACCCCCCCACCCCGCGTTGCCTTCGATGGTCTCCCTCGAATCATCTCCCATCAATCGACCCATCAAAAAACTTTTCCTAAAGGGGCCCACTGGTCAAGGGGCGTGGGAAACTTTATGCCCAGTTCCTGTCACCTTTCATTCTCTGTTGATCTGACTGCCACTCTTCACCAAGGGCTGGTGACCTGGCCAGGGAGATGCTTGTTCTATAAAAACAGCAGCCCTCGACCGGTTCTCTGCCCTAATGATGCCCACACGGTGGTCATGTGACCTTGTGGACATGGCCAACTCAATGTCACTCACTCAATGGGGGCTTCACCTTAACTGTTACAATGTAATAAGGGTTAACCAGAGAGGCAGTTTCTGTAAGCAGAGCAATAAAGATTAGACTAGAAACAACACCAGAATGTTTCCTTCTTGCCTTCCTTACAGGATTAGCCCTGTAAAGTGGAAAAAAACAAAATAAGATTTCTTCCAACAAACAGTTCTCCGAACTGCTTAGAAAGTTAACAACCAGTTCTCCCGAATAGGTGCGAACTGGCTGAATCCCACCACTGCCCTCGACCCTTGCGAGGGTACATCAGTGGGTGGATGAACAGGACCATCAGTCCCTGCCTGCACACAAATGCTTATGCTCATCTTTGGCTTCTGAAGAAGGGTCTATATGGTCCAAGCAGGTGAAGCCTTCGCTTTGGGAAAGAGATAACAGTCTGGCAAATGTAACAGTAGGCAAGACCAAGAGGTAAGAGAAAGAGAACTTCCCCAGAAAACCCAGAAGGTTAAAACCTTTCTCCCTCTTGTTCTTGGACAATGTGGGGTACCTAGTTTGAGGAACTGGGTTTCAGGCGGGTGGGAATGGAACCACATCCTGGTTGCTAGGAGAAATCCTGTTTCTGTAACGGGATTTCTACACAGTTAGCTGAGACTCATACTAAATGCAGCAACATTCATCTCTCAGCCTGCATCAGTGCAAGCTTTTCTTTTCTTTTTTTAAACCTAGGGATTGCTGCTGCAGCAGCTAATATCCATACTAGAGAAGAATGTAACCAGACAAGTATGCAGGAGCCCTTGGTGAATGCTCTCTCCTTTCTGAAAACTCAAGGGGAGAAACTCCTTTGAGATTAGCAAGAAAGAGGCCATGAGTATCTAAAAAGAGGGACCTTGTTTGCTTAAAGTCGCCAGGTCCCAAACTACAGAATGCTGCAAATTATAGGGTCTTCATCTGTCAGGCACAAGTAACCAGGAAGAGGAGTTGAATTCAAAGCACTAAAAGTTTATTACATGCCTATGCAGAAGAATCTGATCTACTAACGGTCAAGCTAAATTGGCACTAAATAAGGGTCACTGGAATTCACCGGGTCTCATGGGAATGCAACCACTCCAAACTGATGACACATTTTACCCTGCCCTTGGGTTCAACCTGCTCATCTTCTCCATCACCCTGCAAAACTGCCCCAAACTGGTCATTAATATAGATTTCCACAGGAAGATGCAGCAGCTCCTTCCTGACCTCATCTCCCCTCCCAATTCTCCCAGAAGTAAAAATATATAGTTTTTCTTTGAAGATGTTTCGCTTTCATCCAAGAAGCTTCTTTGGCTCTGAAGAAGCTTGTAGGATGAGAAGCGAAACATCTTCAAAGAAAAACCAGAAAGTCCAGTTGCCTCTTGAAAAAGCACCTTTGGGACAACCATGACCTGGATGACTGAGAATCTCCATAGTGAAAATGTATAGGTAACTTCAATGTGTTGAAAGACTTGGGAGAAGCTGTCTAGGATGAGACGCACCAATCACTTTTTCAGATTATCTTTAAAACTAAATGGTTTTAAACTAGAGGCCTCTAGTTTGCTTTTGTTGTGCTTTTGTCCAGGAGCTAAAGCACCTGTTTCCTCCAGAATTATCTGCACAACAGATCTGAGGAGGTCTGAACTAAGACAGAGTGACTGGCTCGGTCATCCAGCAAAATTCCATGGTTGAGAGTAGATTTGAACTCAAGACTTCCTGTTCTTAGTGCAATCAGAAAAGGATGTAGATATATACCTAGGTTCATTCTCCATCACAAGGCCCATCACAAGGCCCTCACTTGACGTCACCTACACCTGACCCATCACAAAACCCATGAGCCACAGTGGCGCAGTGGTTAACGAATGCAGGACTGCTGACTGCTGGCTGCCTGTAATTTGGCAGTTCGAATCTCACCAGACTCAAGGTTCACTCAGCCTTCCATCCTTCCGAGGTCGGTAAAATGAGGACCTGGATTGCTGGGAGCAATATGCTGACTCTGTAAACCGCTTAGAGAGGGCTGTAAAAGCACTATGAAGTGGTATATAAGTCTAAGTGCTATTGCTATCACCAGATCTACCACAAGACCCTCACCTGACATGACTTCTCCATCAAAAGCCCTACTGATCACACAAAGCCCTTAGAAGTAGAAGGACACGGACACTGACAATGAAGTTCCGCTGAAGATGTTAGCCTGGTACCGCTACCGCTAGCCTGGTAACAAAACATTCAGAAACCAACCCACAAGCTCGGAGAATGAACCTACACCCTCATCCTACACCAGAGCTACAGATATTTGCCAATATCTCAAACAGCTAGATTTAGCCACAAACCATCTTTGCAAGCCACTGAGATTGAATGCTTACAAGTTGCTAAGCCACCAATAATTTTTTAATTAGACAGTGGGTTTGGTGCAATGTATTAACACAGTATCTGTAGTCAATTTCATTAAACCAAATTTTGTATTTCCCTGAACCCTGTATAATGAGAGAATGTGTGCATCTTCTTCTTGTCTTCTTCTTCCCTCTTGTCTTAAGAACGTCCATATCAGATGGATCTCACAAGCTGCCTCTGCAGTTATGCAGAGATTTATATTCTTCAGAAGCATTTTTTCCCCCTACATTTGTTTTCTGCATAGTCCCATCTCTGCAATAAAAAGGCCTGCTGGGGTTATAATTTCTTCCAGGCCAAAGAAAACAATTACCTAATTAATGTACTGTTTCTTCCCAGCTTTCCTTATAATCACATGAGCCTTGGTGGACAGACAGTATCAGGCTTTTCGCACAGCACGCACAGGCCTGGCATCAATGTGTTTCTGCCACGTTCCCCACAACGCTGCCTTCATCTCCTCCTCTCCAGTTCATGATGAAGACAGCTTTAAGTCATCCTTAGCTGGACTGGGAATTAAAGAATTGCTCTTCCCCCTTAAACTGAGCGTGTGCAACAGCAGCTGCAAGGTGTATAAAATCTACCTTGTCTATAAAGGCAGGTGACATCATAGTGGGGGCTTCCTAGTTAAGTCTGATGCTGGTGTGTCTCCTCTTCTCCAGTCCTTTGACAGCTCCATCAGCTCCCCTTTCTGCTCTTACCTGTCCAAAGAGCCAAACATTCTAGCACTGGACCAGCAGTCTATCAGGATGACATGGGGCTGTAGTGGTAGGCCAGTGACGGCAAACCTTTTCGGCACTGAATGCCCAAACCGGAATGTGCGTGCATGCATGTGCATTTGCGCATGCCGGAGCACTGGAAACCTGAAGATCAGCTGGCCAGTGCGCATGTATGCGCCAGCCAGCTGGTCTTCGGGTTTCCAGCACATGCATGCGCACCAGCCAGCTGGTCTTTGCACTCACCGGAGCACCGGAAACCCGGAGACCAGCTGGCTGGCATGCACATGCCTGTTTTTTGGCTGTTTTTCAGGCCATTTTCCGGGCTGTTTTCAGGCTGTTTTTCAAGCCATTTTCTGGCACTCCGCTGCCCACAAAGACCAGCTGTCCGGCATGCAAGTGTGCACTGGAAACCAGAAGAGCAGTTGGCGACAGCGTGCGTGCCCACAGAGAGGGCTCTGCATGCCACCTCTGGTTCACCATCACAGTGGTAGGCTATTTGGCTGGCTATGACATGACTGCTTTAACTCTTTGCCTTCACAAGTTTAATAGAAGAATGAAAGGATAACATGATCCATCTTTTTCCTACCTCTATATCCTCCCAGTTGAAGCATATTGGCTTCTAGAAGTCAGCATCTGTTTAAACAAAGGGAAGGAGACAGAAATCCTAAATCAATGTGTTGCTGAAGACTTGGCGACCTTTGTTAACCCAAGTCTGACTTTCTAGCTGGTTTTGTTTTACAGAAAAGGGATGTCGGAAGAAGAACACAGAAAGGAGCCCAGAGATGACAGTCTATATATAAAGCCAGTGCTGCATTAGGCACATCTTTTTCCCCATCAGCTGGTGATGTGCAAAAGTGGGGGAGAACATGCCAGAGTAATAATCAGCTAATTGCTTTACTTATCGTATGCCGCACATGCAAAACCAGAACAGGACTATTCAAGAGCGAATTAGAAGAGATGC